ATCATGTGCTTTCAGATGGAGCGGCATTTAATACACAGAGCCATAGATCACTGACAAGCTACGCAATATCACGTTCATAATCGTAGACGAGTTGCCTTCGATTATGAACGCGATATTGCGTAGCTGTGTATTAAATGCCGCTCCACCTGAAAGCACGTGATGGAGATTTACTACTAATCACAGAACCGGCTTTACTGACGAGATGCGCATGACAATCACATGCGATTTATCATGCAGCCCTAATTGGAATTGAAATCTAAAGATGCAAATACATAAGGTGTAATGAAATAAACACTTTGTGCATTTTGCACTTTGTGCATTTTGAATGTTTTCTTTCCACTAGTCTGAAAGGAGACTAGTGGAAAGTGTTATAGAAGCAAAATAGCCTCAAAATTTTCCCGTGCATGAAAAAAACAACAGTTTTGCCTGAAGTGTTTCACTTAAAATGCTAAAACTCATGCTGTGGTGCATCAACTCCAGACACTAAATCATGTGTGACCCTGGACCACAAAACCAGTCATAAGGGTCAATTTATCATGAACTGTAGACTTGGAAGTGTTGCGAGTCGAGAGGATCCAACTCATTGATGCTGTGCTGAACCTGTGCACTTACCATCACCCAGAGAACATCCAGCTGCCTGCAGGGTATGGCCTTTACCTTTCACCGAGTTTATTCCCTGCTGTTTCACTTCTGTTTTATTATGCAGTGATCCATGAGCTTTATATTGCCAAGTAATTACTGGGTGTCATGGGCTATTTGTGACCCTGGACCACAAAACCAGTCTTAAGGGTCAATTTTCTTTGAATCTTCATCATCTGAAAGCTGAATAAATAAGCTTTCCATTGATGTATGGTTTGTTAGGATAGGACAATATTTGGCCGTGATACAACTATTTGAAAATCTGGAATCTGAGGGTGCAAAAAAATCTAAATATTGAGAAAATCGCCTTTAAAGTTGTCCAAATGAAGTTCTTAGCAATGCATGTTACTAATCAAACATTAAGTTTATATATGTTTATGGTAGGATATGTACAAAATATCTTCATGGAACATGATCTTAACTTAATATCCTAATGATTTTTGGCATAAAAGAAAAATGGATAATTTTGATCCATACAATGTATTGTTGGCTATTGCTACACATATACCCGTGCTACTTATGACTGCTTTTGTGCTCCAGGGTCACATATGAAGCTGTATAATTGTGCACGCACCACTTTCAGGTTGGCTTCCTGTAGTTTACGCGCTCTCTCCTCCAAACGTTTGGCGATGACAGCGAGTTCGGTGTTCTTCTTCCTCAACCTCTTCACTTTCTCCTCCGTCTCTGGAGAACTGCTCTTCCTCTGACGAAACATGGATATTAGAGAATTTGTATTGGAGAATAAAGACAGAATCTGAGAGACTGAAAGCAACATCAAATGTTCAAAGTAGTGAAATATAAACAACAGATTCCGGCCTAATAATGCAGAGTGTGTATTTAAAAATTGGATATTTAAAAAAAAAAATAGTGTCACACCAGGACAGTTTGAGAACCGCAAGCAAGCTAAAATGTGATTAAATATGAAAAATTATGAAAAATGTAAAGGGCTTATATTAAGAGAATTTTCCTTTGTCTTCTGAGATAAAATATTTCAATGTGCTACATAAGGGATAAATGTGCAGTCAGCCAATCATTTCCACAAAATAAACCCAAACACGATGAATATCAAGTGTTGCAATGCTATTTTCCAAATAAATAAATACTAGCACATGCAACATTGATTTGCGCAAAAAAAAAAAAAAAAGATTGTAGAACAACACATTTACGAATAGAAACTGTTAATAAAAAACTAAATTATGATTAACATTATAAGGAAGGGCTATTTACGTATCACTGATATGCTACTATTGTTTTAGCTATTATTTAAAATTATAATTACTTTTTATATTTTCTGTTTGCAATATTGATTTGAGCATAAATGCTTGTAAAAGAGAAAATGTTTAAGAATAGAAAATGTTAAGGAAAATTTAAATCATAATTTACATTATAAGGCATATAAGGTTAGTTTATCACTGATATACTATTATAACATTTGCTATTATTTTGAATTATATTAAATTTCCATATTTTGTTCACACTTTTTTTAAAGTAATTAATTTTGTTGCTTTTGTCATTTTTAATTTTTGATGTCTATAGTTTTTGTATCAATATCTATTTTTTAGTTTTAGTTATTGTAGTACTTATGTGGAACTAAACAAAATGAAATGTTTTAAATATTTCATTTGTTTCAAGTAAAAAAACAGTTTCAGTTAAAAAGTAAAAACTATGTGTATAAAAATTTAAAAAATGTTCCAATACAAATTCTACATTTTCAATGAATATACTGGACAAAAAAAACATCACTTAAAATACAAATGCAAATAAATTCCACACATGTGGCCGATCAGTGGAGATGTTTGAACACTCAGATGATCTGCAGGACTCCTATGGGCTGATGAAGCCTCACCAGTATCCTGTTCTCCTCTCTGAGAGAGTTGCATGATTTCTCCATCTCCTCCAGCGCCCGCAGCAGCTCCGAGTTCTGCTGCACCAGGAACCCATAGTCCCTGCCATTCTGAGGAGAGCAAACACACGAGAAGATCAGTTTCAGATCTCTAAAGTGTCTGGAGGACACACTGACACACGTCTGAGCCGTGGACACTGAATGAGTCGCTTATCAGAGCAACTCAATCCATCCAGCTTAATTCATCAGTCACAGCTGAGAAAAAAAAACAGAAGACAAACCCTGTGATGCAAAGAGCAGAAAATACAGCAAAATAACATCATAAACCACCCAAGGCGGTAGTTTTAGGTATAAAAGGGGTCATATGATGCAATTTCAAGTTTTCCTTTCTCTTTGCAGTGTTACAAGCGGTCCGTGCATAGATAAGATCCCTAAAATTGCAAAGACTAAAGTCTCAAACCTAAAGCGATATTTTTTATAAAAGTTAAGACTTGTCCACGCCCTCCTAAAATGCCTCGTTTAAACACGCCCCTACATATCTATGTCACTGTGTGGGAAGATTTGCATAACGCCGTCCAAATGTTCACGCAAAGAAAGAAGGCGTAACTTTGATTCTCGCTGTAGTCAGAAAGGCGGGGCATAGAGGAGAAACAATAATGTACAGTATGTGGAAAATAATGTGTTTTTTGAACCTTAAACCACAAACACATTTCATTACACCAAATACACAAAATAATGTTCTTTTTAGCAACATCATATGACCCCTTTAAAGGGGTGTTTTTAGGTACTAAACCAAGTGGAAAACACTTTAATTGTGGTAAATCAGCATACGACAGCCACGATGTTGGTCTTTAGTTAATGGTTTCAGCTTGAACCCAATAAATATGATTTTAAAATAATTCAGGAACTAATGTGAAATCATCATAAATTTGACCAAAATGTCAGAAATGTGCACACAGTATCCTTCCTGTGATGCAAAGGCAGAACATACAGAAAAACAAAGTAATAAACCACTCGAGGCCTGCATACAGTGATTTTACCATAGTAAAGCTTTTTTTTTTTGTATTAAACCAAATGGACAACACTTTAATTGTGGTAATTCTGTATACAGCAGCTCTCTAATTAACAGATTCAGTCTCTCCACTGAAAAACCCACTACATATGAAAACTCATATGAAACTATCAGAAATTTGACCAAAACGTCAGAAATGCTCCTCCCTCTTTGCTTTTTTCCCTCATCTTGTAGGACTGACCATCCGCCCGCTGGCGAATCTGAAGGGTGACAGCTTTGATTTCAGCAGAGCGTGTGTGTTTTGTGCATGTCATGCCAGCTGGAACTGGTGTCCTTTCAGGGTGGAGGGTGTTTTCACTGAATATAAAGCCACACAGCGATATTTAGCCTCAATGTGAGATGTAAATACAGAGGTCTGGGACATCTTGTACACAGCATACATGACTTTAGCAATGCAATGAAATTCAATGCTTTCTGTTAAAGAAATTAATCTATTTATTCAGCAAGGACACTTTCCTTTCATTTGCTCTGAAATGACAGTAAAGACATTTCTAATGTCACAAAAGATTGCTATTTAAAAAAAATACAGTTCTTTTGAACTTTTTATTCATATAAAAAACAAAAACGTATCAGTTTCCACAACAATATTCGGCAGCATAACTGTTTTTTCAACATTGATAATAATCAGAAATGTTTGTTGAGCAGCAAATCAGCATATTAAGACTAATTTCTGAAGATCATGTGACACTGAAGACTGGAGTAATGATGCTGAAAATACAGCTGTGCATCACAGATATAAATAACACTTTACAATATATTCACATAGAAAACAGCTATTTTAAATGGTATTTTTTTTACTATATTCTTAATAAAATAAATGCAACCTTGGTGAGCAGAAGAGATCTCTTAAAAAAAAAAAAAAATTAAACCGACCCCAAACCTTTGAACGGTAGAACATAATAAACTTTAATAATAGTAGGCTAAATAATACAATATATACACAAAATTTAAATTTAAATTGTGTAAGTATTACGCACACAAAATCCCACTAGGCAGAACCACTTCTGAGTTAATGGATAATTTGAGTTTGTCTTATTTTATCATCACTGAAAGCAAAATGCACATCACAAAGCATCACAATTGCAGTGCTCCAATTACAATCAACTTCACTCTATGTTGATGCCTTTGCAATATACACACAGCTTCACAGTTAATCTGATTTAGTTGAATCACAACACACTGCTTTTGTTGGTGTCGAGTGGGTTTTACTATTGCATCAGATGAATCCTACTGCTCATTCTGACTGTTCAGATGCCAATCCAGACGTCTGCTGAGTGCAACTGGGATGCAATCACTCTAGAGTCAATATGCATGATCATATTTAGAGCCAAAGAGACAGACTCCACAAACAACCTGAGAAAAGATGCCATCTTCATCCACAATGCAGGCCTACGCAAGTCATTTAACAACAGTCCACTCACAGCTCTGTGAATTCATGCATATTAGCATGCATAAGACTGCAATGCAGTTCTCCATCCAGGAATAAACGTTGTTCATCTGAGAGAGAACTCAGTAAGAGCATCTGCCGCTCTCTCTTTCTCCTCTAATGACCGAACCGAAACCAGACTACAGCTCAGGTCCTGCTCAAATCTCCTGCCAAACGTCAGAGACTCTGTCTAACGAGACTCGCCTGCTGCCAGGGCGTCCAGATGCCAGATCGGACAGGTAGTTCAGCCTCCAGCATTTGGGATCATCATTTTAATTGCTTTGAAAGAATGACCTGTTTACTACACCAGATTGGGGGCTTAATTGTTACTCTTACATCTGAATTCTTATTTTTAGTTACAGTAACAGGACTGTTGGTTACTATCTATTAGGTCTGCATGTTTGTGGAAAAACATGCCTTTGTGATTTGATAATTGCACTAAGCCATATCACAATTTTGGTTTTATTCTGATTAATTGTGCAGGGCTGCACGAATCAGAATTATTATTATCATTATTATTATTATAACAACAACAACAGCAACAACAATTATAATAATAATAATAATTTACTTCGACTATTTTAATTATTTTCTTAGTTTTTTCTTTGTATTTTTTTCCTTGCTTGGTATTTGTCTCTGTTTATTATTATAAAGTGAAAAAATACATAAATAAATTAATTAATTAATTAACTTTTTTTAATTACATTTTTCTCATGAATGTAAGAAAGTGCAGCCCTATTATCTATTACTATATACAGCTCCAAAACACCATAAAGGAATAAACTGCATCAATTACATTTTAAAATATATTCAAATAAAAACTTATTATTGTTATTTTAAATTATAGAAATGTTGCAAAATATTACTGTTTCTACTGTACTTGTATATGGCTGTAGTTATTGTATTTTTACTGCAAAAAAAAAAAAAAAGTGCACTGAATTTCTTCTTAAGGCATATGAAAGGTGAAGGACAGAGGAATTGCGAGGAACAGACCCAAAAATAAATTGTTAATCACCGAAAATCTTTCTTCTTTTGTTTTTCACCAAAAAATAACAATATATGAATTTGAAACAATACAAGACCCCAATAAGAGCCACAACCTATAAAACCGCCACTGCTGAATTATAATATTCACGAGTCGTTCTGCAGTCATACAGGTTTGTCATTATCTTAAATACACTTTAAGTAATGTTTAAGAGCGCTGTCAATCACGTGTGAAAGCGATCCTGTCTGAATCCGCTGTGATTGGTCGGTGCACTTACGTGTGACTCTTATCCGAGCGCTCGTGTCTCCCGCCAGGGCTGTTGGGATATGATTGATGCCTGCACGTTACAGAAGCATCTGTGCTGGACGGCAAGACCATCCTTTTGTTCTGATTATAGATGGGTCGTGCTGCTCTACATTAATAGTTGCATCTCAGATGCGAAAGGTCTTGGAGCAAAGCTCATCTCCATTAAAACACAAACCTCCATTAGCAGCATAATGGAGTCGACAGGGGTTCCCTGCGCACAGATGGGCTTTCTGCTCGAAGCAAGAGAAAACACTCGCGCAAGTCCATTCCCTGAGTGAATTCTCAACAAAATGACTAGATATTTCACCCTAAAACAAAAAAAAAATTAGGAAATTACATTTTGAGATTAACGTCTGAAATTAATAAAATATTAGGCTTATTTTAGTACAATGAAAAGTTTTGCATTTTTACATTATTTCCATGACAATTCATTCTAAAATACTGTATTACAGTAATGATAATCTAATGTGAATAACATTAAGAAAGAATGAGAATTACAAAAAAATTTTTATAAAATAAATAAATAAAACAACTATGCTTTAGGGACATGTGTTTAATAGTCCCAAAAATGCAAAAACTTTTAATGGTTATAAAAGAGGTTTCATTTTCGTTATGCAAAGTATAATCTATTATTTTTATCATATCTATAATATCAGACTGAATGTGATTTATGATTTACAATGTGTATCAGCCAACTGCATTTTGACATTATTTTGATGACAACTCATTCTAAAATACTATATTATAGTCACGTTAATATAATGAGAATCACATGCAGAAAGAATGAGAAATGAGAGTTATGAAAAAAGGAATAAATAAAATGTCTATGCATCAGGCAAATGCACTTAATAGTCCTAAAATAATGTAAAATGCAAAAAAATAATGGTTATAAAAGAGGCTTTATTTCCTTCATGCAAAATAAAATAGAATATTTTTGAATATAACCATATCTTTAGTATCAGAATGAATGCAAGGAAAAAGTCACTGTACAAGTTCTTAATGTAAATTTAATGCTAATTTAATGCTCAATTCCCTTAAAACACAATGATTTATGATTTTTAATGTGTATCATTCCATTAGACAGATTTTCAGGTTATACGAGACACAAATGAGAAGGAAAACACTCATTAGCTGCATGTCATTAATTTTACACAGATGTCATATATCTTTCCTTATTCATCTCTCGTTCTCTTTCACACACACACACACACACACACACACACACACACACACACTCTTGACACACAGGAGTTTACTCTCACTATTGTACTCTCTCATTAATGTTTTCCAGTAAATATCTCTTGACGACCTTCACACACACA